TTTTTTTTTTTTTTTTTTTTTTTTTTACGAATTCGGTGGCGCTCTTCGGTTTAGATGTCTATTGCTTAAAATTAAGTAAAATTCTTAGTGGAATAATTTCATTAATGTCTAATTGGCTTTGTTATTCAACGCAAATAGTCGTCTTTGGAAGTTAATTATTTTTTTTTTTTAATTTAACCACAACACAATCATATTTGTGTGAAAATTCGTCTTTGATTCGGAAGAACCTCAGTCCTTATGTGCTCTCTGTTATTACCACTGGTGGTGTTGCCCGCTGGTGTTTCTGTCGTTTTTTTTTGCTGGTTACAAATATGCGTCCAGTTGACCTCAGATTGCATAAATTAGAGGACGGCTGGTTAAGGACGTCGTCAAGATCGCATTGAATTCAAAGGTTCGGAAGCGTTGATAAATTTCAGGATGTAGCAGCATCGCACCGATCGTTCAGGGATCTATCCATCCATCCATCCATTCATCCATCGTCATCTATCAATCTATCCACCCATCCATCTCATTAGGTTTCGTAACGATGTTTGGATAAGTAATTTTAAGGAGTCCAAATTACCGATTAGGATGTTGAAAGCAAAATAACAACAACAACAACAACAACAACAACAACAACAACGACAACAACAGCAACACAGAGGAATAAATTCCTTTGGCGTTCAATTTTTTTTCCCCTTTTTTTTTCGGTGTTCCATAGAACAACGGCAACAAAAACAACGCAACAATAAAAGTGAAACAACAACAACAACAAAAAACAACAACAACAACAGCAACAAATTTGCAACTTCGCGTATTTGCCATCATTTTCCGTCACTCAAAATTTTGTTTCTTTTACATTTTTGTTTTTGTTTTCCAGTTTGTTCTACTTTGTTTTACTTTATTTTGGTTTGTTTTATTTGGTTTTATATATATATATTTTTTCTAATTTGGATATCATTAATTTTAATTGACGTAATGACTGGGGAAGCAAACGAGGGGCACTGAATCTGATCAATGAAGTGTTGATTTGAGATAAAAATAAAGCAAGTTGAAACTGTACAGGAAAAATGAATGTGAAGTGCGCTGGGGAACACAGACTTAATTTTGTCCTGATGATATTATGGCAAATTTTTTCAGCTACAGTTACCAGCAACACAAAGTTCTATTTTATTTTATTTGATTTTATTTATTTGTTTTTTCTTCCTCTTTTTTTTTTTTCCTGTTAGTTACAAGCCATAATTAAAAGTTGTTGGAAAGAGTGATGGCAAGAAAAAGGGATAAAAAATTTTCTGTCCTTTTAAATTCATTAATTA